GGCGCCTTAGCCGGTTGAGCTATAGGCGCCGAGCCAGGAAACAAGATTTCTAGCATTGAATAAACAGATATAGGATACCAGTATAAAATCAAATAACTAAAAACACTATACCCTTAAATATGAATTAGAAATACCAATATGAACCCACAACTTCTTCGTATCCTAATTTTTTCTTTTCCTTTTGGAGACAGAATCTGACTCTGCTACCCCAGGCTAGAGTACTGTGGCATCAGCCTAGCTCACAGCAACCTCAAACTCCCGGGTTCAAGTGATCCTCCTCAGACTCCCAAGTAACTGGGACTACAGGTGCCCAAGTAACTTGGACTACAGGCCAAGTTAATTTTTTTTTTTTTAAAGAAACAAAGGAGAAATAAGTAAAAATAAAAATGGTCACCTCTGGGTGGAAGAGAGTCTCTTGCTCAAGCTGGTCTCAAACTCCTAAGCTCAAGGGATCTGCCTCCCTCCTGCCTTGGTCTCCCAGAGTGCTAGGATTACAGGCATGAGCTATTGCACCTGGCCAATTTTTTCTTTTCTTAAAATTTTCTATATCCATTCACTGAAAGGCAAAAGCAATCACAGCTCAGCAGCACCGATCACTTCTAGTATTCCAACTGAGGTCTCTAAATATTATTTTCTACTAAAAAAGGGCCAGAGTTTTTTAGAGAAATGACTGACTACAAGGGTAGAAAATGTACAAAATAAACCTGAGACATCATACTGAGCAAAGAAGGTATTAAATATTAATATATGGCTCGGCACCTGTAGCACAGTGGTTATGGCATTGGCCACATACACCAAGGCTAGAGGGAGCCTAGCCCGGGCCAGCTAAACAACAATGGCAAATGAAACAAACAAACCAAAAAAAAAAATAGCCGGGCATTGTGGCGGGCGCCTATAGTCCCAGCTACTTGGGAGGCTGAGGCAAGAGAATCGTTTAAGCCTAAGAGTTTGAGGTTGCTGTGAGCAGTGATGCCACTCAAGGATGACACAGTGAGACTCTGTCTAAAACAAACAAACAAACAAGCAAAAAAATTAATATAACAAAGAATAAAGATATCAACTTGAAGGGGCTCCTGCTAAGCAAATTTGAGCACAAAAACCCAAAATGATATGAAAACCAAAAAAACATAAAAACTCCAAAATGATATGAAAACCACAGCTTTACTAGTCAATGCTTAGAGGCAGCTAGGGCCCAAACTCACTAAGCTGAAAACTGATAAGTAAAAGGAAAGAATCACGTATTTATCCTGCTTTTCAGTATGAAGAGCATTTCAGAGTAACCACACAGGTGAGGAAAAGGTCTTTATTAAAGAATTCCAGCTAATAGGGTCGCACCTGTGGCTCAAAGGAGTAGGGCACTCACCCGATACGCCAGAGGTGGCGGGTTTGAGCCCAGCCCCAGCCAAAAACTGCAAAAAAAAAAAAAGAATTCCAGCTAATAAATGGGAAGGAAGTATCCGATTAAGCAATATTCATCAATAGATGCTCATCAATAGGGGAGTGACTGATGGGGGGTTTTATAATGGAGGATCAGGTGATACCACCTGAACCCAGAGATCAATCCTAGAGTCTCCAAATGTGTGGCCACCAGACATCAGTTGTCTGTTTACGACATGCAATAGGGAGTCCAGCACCACCTATGAGGTGACCTGAGCCGGACCTGCATGGCATCAGACCTCCAAGTCAGTGATTTTTAATTGGTGTGTCCTGAGAGGATCTTAGGTGTACCACAAAAATTTTTAAAGACCATTAATTAAACTGTTTTCAAAAGAAGTTCAAAGCACAACAAGTATATTATTTTTTTAATTCTTCTTTTTGATCAACATAATTTAAGTGTGCCATGGAAGTTTAACTATAGGCTCAAGTGTGCTATGAGATAAAGAAAGTTGAAAACACTGCTCTAGATGGAACATCCAGTTGACAGGAAATATGGGGAAACAAATTAAATGACACCACAGAGAAGCAATCAGCCAAATCCTGGGATGTGTGTATCACAGATGACAAATGACCTACTTTCTCAAAAAAATCAGCATGAGAAAATGGGGGCAAGAAGTGTAAGAAAGTGGGTGGAAGGAGGGTATACAGTTATAGAATAAAGACACTTAGAGAAAAAGAGTCAAAACAACAAAAAAGCAAATCTAATGATGTCATTCTCTTAAAACCCTACGGGTCTTGCCCACACCTCTGGCTGTTTGTCTCTTACCAAGTCCCCTCTGTGCTCCAGCCACATAACTAAATTCGCCTCCTTGGCTCGGCGCCTATAGCTCAACAGGCTAAGGCGCCAGCCACGTACACCTAAGGTGGCGGGTTCGAATCCCCAGCCCGGACCCGCCAAACAACAATGATGGCT